CAATTAAACCATATGTAGACTGTTTTTTAATCAATTTTAATAGAAAAATAAATTGGGGCATTTAACAGATTATGGAGCGATTTTTTCAATCGAAACGAAAGTCCATACCAGCAAATTTCTAAACCAAACCAGCAACCTTATAATGTTGACAATAAACGATATCTGGATACCCAAACTAAGACCACGTTGTTCTTGACCCTAAAATTCATGCAAATGGTTTTTGGAACATAAGTGCACACTGGGTAAGGAACCATTATTACACGCAACATACTCATACCATGTTTTTTCTCAACCATAATTAACAATCTAAGCGTTCAAGTTCAAGTTCATGTTTGGTGAGAAGAATTTTTTGCAAACTAATTATAACTAGCCCCTTCTGAAAACCCTTTCAATCCTATCCTTAACAAGAATATAATAAGATGCAGAATTCAAAATCAGTTTTGAGGAAGAGATCATTAACTGCAAAGCATATTGCAGCCATATTTTTTAATCGATTATCTCCAACTTAATAGGTTGTATCTCTCGGTGACCATCCCAATTCGCAAACAGGCTGCAGGATGCTATGTTTCATCTGCAAACTTAACTTTTTAAAAGGTGGAAAATAAAATAAATCAAGATTGAGTAATACTTATTTGAGAAAATTCTCAAGCTAATTTATCTTAAAATGCGCTCTACACATAGAAAATGTGATGATATATGATCTTCTGCAATTGATATATGGTCTTGCTCTGACGATCGCTGATGGTCGACGTTGACTGTCCGCCCGAGTTGAGTTTAGATCCTGGATCCACCACTGGTGGGTGGTCGAGAAAATGTTTGCAGTGGACTAGGATAATGAAGATGGTCAATATTCTATTTTTTTAATTTTTCTTGTTTACATAAACTTCAAGACTAGACCTTTCAAGCTATGTCAACGGTGAGTTTGGACGAAACTATTATCAAGGGTTATGTTTGTTAATTTGTTAAATGTTAAAGATATGAATGTCAAGAAATAAATGTTTGAAGATAGAAGTGCAAAAAAGGTAAAAGTTGGAGACAACAAGCGCAATTTATACTACATTGTTTTCTTTTTCTTGTAAAATACAAGACGCGACTCGACGCAACCTTAGTACTGGTACACCTCAAAACCCTAATCTTCGAACTCCACTGCACCCTCGACTCGAATCTCTCGGCGCTATCCTACCTACGGTAAACTCCCAATTTCAATACCTGAAAGATTATCACTTTAATTTACAATATTCTATCTTTCAGTTATATAAACAATGTTCGTAATTTAGCAATTAATTTTCTAATTGAGGCCGCCGACCTTGTACTATTTTTTTTCCTCGCTATTCTTATGTATGGTATCAGTCGAGGCAATTTTTTTTAGGGTAAAATGTTTTATCGACAAGTTCTCTTACTAATTTCGAAGACGGATTGTCGATGATTAGCTATGGTGCTGTTGATGGCTGCGTTTAATTATTTTTTTAATTTTTTAACATTTATTGATCCTTTCGTTTCATTTTTTGCAATTTTAATTGAATTTATACAATTCTTTGTCATGCTTCTATTCCTGCAATCTTAACATCCGTGGATATGTCAACATGCTCCAAATTCCTGGTTTTGTGTTGTTTTGAATTGTTTTATTTTCCTGATGTTGTTTTGAATTTCATTAGGAAGAATGAGTCGATCAAGCAGAACCCTTTATGTTGGCAACCTTCCTGGTGACATTCGTGAGAGGGAAGTGGAAGATTTGTTTTACAAGGTAATTTATATGAATTTGAATTTCATTTCTAAATTCTTTCCACCCTCTTCTTCGTCCATCTTGATTGTTTTAAAGATTTTATGATTGTAATTTCATGTGCATTATTTTGATTGTCTTGTCTTGGATTAATTGACGTGACTCCCTTCTTTCAATTTTACTCAATCCACTGGTGCATTGATGAATCCACTCAAATATATATGGTGCGTGTGGGTGTGTCTTGTTGGTTTGGTCATGGCTTTAGTAAGTTGGAAGCATGCTGATGGATAATTGGATGAAAATGTCCTTTTTTGTGCGTTTTTCCGTTTTGACGTGAAGGGTATGGAAGTGTATACATTGAAAGATTTTTGCTGAACACTGCTATAGCTCCCAAGACTATGTTATTTCCTCCAGTAAATAAAATATGAGCTAGTAAGGTAATAATTTATCACTCAGGCCTGTTCGGTACAGCTTAAAATCCAATTAAAATTGAAAATATGACCGTTATTGGTTCCACTCGTCTAATAAAAGTCAACAATAACGGCTAATTTTTCCATTTTAATCCAATTTTAATCTCTACCGAATACGCCCTCAATATC